GTATTTTATTATTATTATTATTATTATTATTATTATTATTATTATTATTATTATTATTATTATTATTATTATTATTATTATTCTTGTTATTATTATTAATATTATTGTTATTATTATTAAATGTCTAAATATAATTATTTGTCAACGTAAAAATTTATTTGTCGCCCCGCCATCGTCTAGCGTAGCAGTCCAGTTCACGAGCAGTTCATCGGGTTTCAGCCCCCCCGCGTTCGAAAGCTTCGAGCTTCCAGCGTTGTCCGTTTAACCGACCCGCTGTTGGGCCCGTTTCCCGTCCGATAACTCATAGTTTCCCGAAGTCGGGTAACTCATTCGAATCTTCTCGTTATTACGATCGTATCCATATATCGCATGTTATATTTATGTTGTGTTCGATCTATCGAAAGTTGATTTGAAATCGGATTCTGTTTAGTTCGTTTTTGTTTGTTGATTTTTCGTGGATGTTCGGAGATGGTTGGAACTCTCGATTTCATAAACATGAATATCCTTAGATTGTTCTGATAAAATCATAAACTTCGGAGTCTTGTCTTGTCATTTCGAGCCATCGTTAGATTGTACGGGTCATTCGAGCCACGTCGTTCATTTGGTGTTATTTTTTGTTGTTTTCGTTTTCTGAGAAAACCCAGTTGCAAAATTTATTTTCGAACTCTGAAAACTTGTTATTCTCGTAAAATAGACTCTTCCTCGATCTCATATTGCCCAGAAATTGTAGATGTTGTCGTAGCTTGCTGCTCTGTTCGATTTCGTTTTCTGAATTTATGTTTTCTGTTCAGTTTACTAGCTTCAGTTTTAGTATATTGTTTTTCCTTAATATACCGATTAGTTGTTAGGGTGCAGTGGTTATCTGCGCACTCTTCCTTGTACAAAGTCGCGTGTTCGAACCCCAGCCCTTGCACAATAAGTTTTTTTTTTTTAGTTATTAAGTAGGAGCTCCAGGCGCGCGGGCTTTTTAGCCCGCATTAGGCCCCCGCGCGGCCCGTCCTTGTGTCATCAGAGGAAACCCACGAGCCCGCGTCCAGGCCCAGTGGAGGCCTGAGTGCATTCAGCCCTTATGGGTGTTGGGCGAGCCCCATTTGGGCCCAATGACCGCGCAACTCAAGCCCAAATCCGCGGCAATTAGTGTGTAGTGGCCAATTTGACTTTATTTTGACCCGTTTTGTGTACTGGACAACTATTTTTTGACCCGAACTTATTTCTAAAAATTATATTCAAATGAGAAAATATTGGGAAAAATTATTTTAAGTCCCGGGACTCCATTTCGTTCCCCGAGTCTTTTCTTTTAAAATTTTGAGAGTTCCAAGTCCACGAAAAATCCGATTAAAACCCTTAAACCTTCATTTTTATTAAGTATGGGTTTTATGTTAAATTTGAGTAGTGAGATAAATTATTGATAAATTATCTCGCTTAAATGTAGGTGTTTGAGGAGTCGAGCCTCATCCTACGTACTTGCTTTTGTGTGTCATTTTCTACCAAAATTTCCAGGTGGGTCTTATTTAAATCGTTTATGCCATGAATGATGAATGTTTATATTTGTGGGTATGATCTATGCATGAACATGAAATATGTAGCCTATCGATGTGAGCTGTTTCGGTCGTCGGTACGGTTATCCCCGTCGATGTAATACGGTTGCCCTTGTGAGGCAAGTCTCCTTAAGTCCTGATATGGTCGTGCCCTTGCGAGGTACGTAAGCCCATATGGAAGGCCGTGTCCGTAGCGTGGCATGTACTCCCGCCTTCAGGTAATGAATCCCCGTTCTGCAGCTAGCAATAGATGTGCACAGGAGTATGTGGTTATTGTAATTTTGATAGGAGACGAGATATGATGTGATTATTTTATTTTTATGCTGCGACCATACCATCTTGACATGTTATTATTTAGTAGTGAGCACTACGTTCATTTTGTGTTCACTCCCACCTGCTCTTCACGGATGCAGGTTAAGCAGGTGCCGGATGACGGGGGAAGACGAGTGGGTCGGTCTTGATTTATGTTTTTATGATTATGCTTCCATTATGAATAAAGTTTGGTCCTTGAGACGTGTTGAACTATTTTCGAACCTTGTCATTTTTGGGATTATCGGACCCTTTTGTTTAGATATTCGTATTGTAGTTATTTATTGAACATCATGTGTTTTCAATTATGCATGCTATATTGTTTAGCTAATAATCATGTGGAATTGATGATTTAAAGGTTAATGAAAACCATGTGAACAACCAGATACGACTTGGTTGATTTTAAATGTTTGAATAACGTCCTTGTTTTCAAAAACGAGTTCGAAAAATTATGTACCGATTTTTGAAAAGGCCGAAATTTCTTTAAAATCAAAGTGGGGTGTTACAGTTTGGTATCAGAGCCGTTATGTGGTTCTGTAGACTGGTTTATATTTGATTATGTGTTTAGACCTTGTAATATGACCACTCGTCTCCGTCACTCCGCGCTGCTTAAGGTATGTTTTGTTTAAGTATTAATGAAAATACTTGATATGTGAATGGTACGCTTGTGGCAATGAATTTACTTGTGTTAAATTTGTGATTTGGGGCTTAGGATCTATCCACCTTGATTTAATCGAACTCTAGTGTTTATTGGCGAACTCTAGACTTCTCTAATTATGATGTTGTTTAATTTATGCTAAACCTTGTTCGGCTTATTCACTGTAGAATCATGAATACCCGCAACAACTGTAACCGTCAGGCATCCCCGCAACCCTCTCTGCCCCGTCAGCACCAGGCCCCTCCGGCCATGGACCTTACTTAGCTTATCGTCCAGTTTCAGAGGATGAATGCATTAAGTTTTGCAAGGACTGAGAACCCCACAACGGTGCTGGAGTGATAAAAGAATTGGACAAGATCTTCTTTGTGCTTCCCCTCCCTGACCGTCAGCGGGTTTCCCTCGCAGCTTATCAGATGAAAGAGGATGCTTCCGACTGGTGGATTGACCACTGGGCTCGGAAGCCAGAGGCGGAGCTTCATGCTCTCACTTGGGAACAGATGAAAATGATGGTGCGTGGCAAGTTCCTTCCCCAGAGCTTTAGGGATAGGATGGAGCATGAGTTCTACCATTTGCAGCAGGGAAGCTCCACTGTGGACGAGTATATTCGTATTTTTACCCGGATGTGTCTTTTTGCGGGTGACTCGGTGAATACCAATGCCAAGAAGGCCCGCAAGTTTCCCAAGGGGCTCAATCAGAGGATCCATGAACTGCTGGGGAGTCACGGACTGATGTCTTTCGCCGACACTGTGAGTTAGGCTCAAGAGGTGGAGAGCTGTCTCATCCCGATAGCTCCGGTCCCTTCATATTATCACGCCTCCCAGCCTTCTCAGACTGTTGTTCAGCATGCTCAGCCAATCTCATCCGTGCCGCTCGACTCTTGTTCAGGCAAGAGGAAGGCAAATTCCCACGGTGATAACTGGAAGAGAAAGCGAGGAGGTCCCGAGCGGCGCAATCATCCCTCTTCTGACAACCGAACCTGCAAGAAAT